CAGACACAGAAAGAGACATACCACGTCCTCACCCCTAAATGGGAGCTGAAAAAAAAAAAAGAAACAAAGATAATAATCACAATAATTCCTTGAACTTTCAAAAGGAGAGAACAGAACTGAGGACAGCAGAGGTGGGAAAGGGGGAGGGGTGGGGATTAGGGAGAAATTGGTAAAGGGCCACAAAAAATGTTTACATTGTGTAATGATAAAATAAAAAAAATTTAAAAGAATTAAACAAAAAAGATTTGGAGCCGGATGTCAGAGGTGTCAGATTGGCTGTCTCCTGGATGTCATCTGTGTGCCCTGAATGACCTTCCTGTTGTAGGATGTTCCTGGACTCTTTAGCCATCATGGAATATTCTGGATGTTGAGACACATGTCCATCCATATCTCCTGTTTGCATGGGACTCAGGGATCCTGTGGGAAGTTTTGATGGAGTCCAGCCATTTACAGACCTGTGTATTGGACTAGAAAAGTGGTCTGAGAACGGAGAGGAGGGGAATCCTGCAAAGAAGTCCCAGGCAGGAGGCTGGCAGTGCAGGGAGAGGTGGCACCTCTGCCAGCATGCTCCCTCCCTGTCCTCCCACAAGGGCCATGTGCTTTGGCTCAGGAGGGCTGGCCAGTGAAGCCTCAAGAGCCAGTCAGGCTCAGGGACCTGTGGACAGTGGGGACGCAGTGGTCCTGGGAGCAGGAGAGGGATCCTAGAGCAGAGAGGCCACAGAGCTGAGCCCTGCCATCGGGTTTCACTGGGGCTGCTGTAGGGGACTCCTGAGGGATCCTCGGGGAGAGGGTCACCCCAAAACCTGGACTTCCTGTTAGTCCAGTTGATGAGGGTTCTTCGCACCGAGATCCGAGGACACATTTGCCCTCAGACGGTGAGACCATGAAAGACGTGGCCACCATGGTGGGTTCGTCCTCTCCTCGTTTCCTGGCCAAGTGCACTCAGGACAAATTACCAAACAGAACCGAGCACTCCCTCTTAGAGCCAAGGAAACAGTGGCCCGCACAGTGGATTCCGTCTGGGCATACAAGCCCTTCCCAAAGCTGCTTAGATAAGCAGTACAGGGGGTCACTGAGGAAGGCCTGGGACATTTCTCGTTTTTGCCTTTCCAGCAGGATTCGTGTCCTGGCCTGCCCATGGCCAGATGAGCTTTGAGAGTCTCCTCTGATTGGTCATCGTTCCCTGACGCTAGACAAAGATGCTGATTCATAGAAACTTAACCCCTGGGCCGGCCTGTGGCTCACTTGGGAGAGTGCGGTGCTGATGACACCAAGCCACGGGTTCGGATCCCATATAGGGATGGCTGGTTCGTTCACCTGGGAGAGTGTGGTGCTGACAACACCAAGGCAAGGGTTAAGATCCCCTTACTGGTCATTCAAGGTTTGGGGTAAGAAACTTACCCCAAACCTTGAAGAATGACAGCATTTGAAGCAGCCTGACCAGCATCACATGAACCCGAAAAGAATTAGGATAACTTATTTTCAAAATATTTTAGGACTCAACCTTAATAAGTTAGCACATCTGATGTTTTAGAGGTGGTATTTTCTCTCCAACAGGATCATGTGGAGAGATTTTCCAGCTGGGATTTTTAGACATAATGGTACTTGGACGTGACCTTGCCATATGGATAATTATTATACTTTCTTTTTTTGTGTGGGATTTCTAACTTTTTCACAGTGCCATCTTCTTCCTGGGCATTCTGGAGGAAGAAATGGTTAAGTCTGGGCCTTAGAAGATGCGCTGAAGACTGGCCGCAGGAAACGTTCTGGTCTTTGAAGCTCTGTATCTGTCCAGAGAATGCTGAGAGCGTCACTGCCAGCTTCTGGGGGGCCTGGCCATCTCCTCAGCCCCCCACTGCCACCCTGCACGGAGCCCCTGCCCATCTTGGGTGAGCAGAGTGGCTAAGGAGGGGAAAGCCAGGTGACCAAAATGCCAGGCGCTGTATTCCAAGGTAGTCAGTGTTCCGTTAGGTCAAGAAGACACTTAAAGGGCTGATCCCTCCTTAGAAACCACTTAACAAAAATGTGGTAGTGAAAACTATGTCTGGAGAGTGTATAAACAAAATGTGGTGTCTGCATACAACGGAATATTATTCATTCAGCCTTGAAAAGGAAGGAAATTCTGACACATGCTACAACACAGATGAATCTTGAGGACATTATGCTAAGTGACATAAGCCAGTCACAAAAGGACAAAGACTGCATGATTCCTTTCTATGAGGTGCCTAAAATAGTCAAATTCATGGAGGCAGAAAGCAGAATGGTGGTTGCCAGGGGCTGGGGGGAAGGGGGGAGAAGGGAATTATTGTTTAATGGGGACAGAGTTTCAGTTTGGGGACATGAGAAAGTTCTGGAGATGGATGGTGGTGATGGTTGCACAGCACTGTGAATGCCACTAAACCGTACACTTAAAAATGGTTAAAATGGTGAATTTTGTGTTATGTATATTTTATCACAATATTTTCTTAAAAAGAGTAAAGGAGGAAGCTGGCCCTGGGGCGGGCAGCAGGGACGTGCACCTGCTTGAATGATGGACTTGAGGACTCCTGTGAGCCTCTCCCAAAGTCCTGGGGCCAGCTAAGTGACAATCAGGTGTTGATGGCCGGATGCAACATGATGCATTAACCCTTTCCTGGTTAGCTGAATGTGTTTCATTCTTTAATACAAGAGTTGGCTGGTAATGTGCTTATAGATTTGGAGTCAACCAGAATTGCACTAAACTGTGCAGGCATGAGGGAAACTTTTAAATTTTGAAATCCTTTCTGGTAAAGAGTAAAAGGATACAAATCCTTCCAATTATTACTGTTCACGAAGAACACAAAATCCCATATTCCTGGACTCTGGATCCTACGGGACCCTTGCAGCTAAGAGTCACAAAGCCAGCCCCCCCTTGCATAGGACGTTACTTTAAGTACGCTTCTGGCTGCACCCCTGTTGTGCCCGTGCCTTTAGAATCCGTGGGCCCTAACTTGATCTGGCCTCCTGATGCCACAGACCCTCACCCCACTCCCCTCCCACCACCTGAGGCCCATTGTAGGCTTCACGAGCCTTCCAGAGTCCAGGCTGGGCTCTATCACCACTCCAAAGAGTTCCAGGGCTGGTCATGACTTTGGGGTTTGCCCAGAGCCTCATGGCTGTGGGGAGTAAGGTCAGGGTGGGGGTGGCAAGCAGAGGCAGAGGGGAGACCCTCTCCCTGGCCGTGGACAAGATTCACATCACAGCCACTGATGATCTGATATTGGCAGTGAACGTGAGGATAGATACCATGGTTCAGGTCACTCCACGTAGTCCCCAGGAGATGACTCCTATCCCTCAAATTGTCCCCAAACTCTAATTCTCAGTGGCCTTGCGTCCCATCCCCAGCCTCACTCATCAACATGCACCAAGGCCTCTCTCTTCCTGGCCTTACCTGCCCTGCTACCCTCTCCCCCTCTCCTAGCGATAGTCTTACAAGTCCTACACCAGGTGTCACCTGTTACACCTTCACTGAAAAACCTCCCCGACTGCAGCCTCCGCAGGCAGCCCCGTGGGGGAGGGGTGAGCCCACCTGGGCAAGGGCCACGTGCTGCTGCTCCCACTCTCTCCACTCCTGCTCCAGCAGCTGTGCCCAGGTCACCTGATGAGCGTGAGTCCCCAGCCGCTGTCACGCCAGGAGGCAGGCAGGGGGATCTGGAAGAAGGGAGGCGTGTTAAGCAGCAGGTCTGCAGCATCAGAGGGGAGGCACAGGATGGCCACAGGACATCTGTACTCGGTTCTGCCAACACACAGGAGTCCCAGCCGGAGCAGGAAACTGAGCTGTGCTTGCAGGCAAAGGAGACATCATTTGGTAAGTCCTGCCAAGAGTGTATCACCTTCAGATTCATGAGACATCAGGGCAAGAAGGTCCTTTAAAGGGGGAGGCATGAGGCACAGTATTCTACTTTTTCACTTCTGTAGGCACATGAGACTGTTTCCTTCAAGACCAGTCATTGCAGGGAATTCCCATAAGGTCAGGGAATTCAGGAAGAATTGCAGATTTGTGTTGTTTTTCCCATATTCCATGTCTGTGTTTATGAACTTTGGGAATTAGATGCTATGGGTAGGTCAACATCCAGCACATTCAGGTTTTGATGTCATAGAGCTTTGCGACACCAGAGCCATGTCAGGCCCAGCACATGCACTGACTCTGATATAGGAAGCGCTTTGTTGAGGTTGGAGCCTTAGTGAGTCGGGCCGTGCTAAGCTGGAGACTCGCCAGGCAGGGCTGCCCGGTGTGACGGTGGGATGGGGGCGCAGGGAACGCTGCCACTAGCAGAGAGTCCCCTGGAGCAAGGGAACCCCACTGGGAAGGGGTAGGGACCAAGGGCGGGATGGCGACTGGCGAGGAGCTCTGAGCATGAAAGGTCTGGGACCTTCTGATGTGGCTGCTTTGATGCTGAACAGTCTCAGCAGTTTTACTTCAACAGTTTTATATTTTATCTTTTTTATCCTTTCCATTTTAAGTCATTAACGTGCATAAACTGGTACATATCTTCCTGCGGCCAATCTGAAATCAGGGGTCTTAAAGCAGTGGCCTGGATAACTGTGCGTTGGCATCAGCAGGGCCACTTTAAGAATGCCCACTACCAGGGGTCTGACCTAGTGACCTGGGGAGCCCCATGGCCAGGCGACCCTGATGCACAGCCAGGGATTCCAAAGTCACTAAATTGCATGAAGCCATCTGGTAAGGATCAAAATAGTCCTGCTGGAAGGAATGGCCTCAAAATTTAAATGGCAATAAAAAATGAGACTGAAACGGTCATTTTTAAAGGGCAGGGCCGTTATTTCTTACAACTGCAAGTGAGTCTATACTTATCACAAAATAAAGTTTGTTTTTTTTAAAAAAAGATGACCAGTAAGGGGATCTTAACCCTTGACTTGGTGTTGTCAGCACCACGCTCATCCAATGAGCCAACCGGCCATCCCTATATGGGATCCAAACCCGTGGCCTTGGTGTCATCAACACCGCACTCTCCCGAGTGAGCCACGGGCCGGCCCCTAAAGTTCTTTTTTGAAAGGATGGGGCCAAAATATCCAGGACAAAGCCCCAGAGGGCCCACCCACCCCGGCCTGCCCTCTGGCTGGCCTCAGATTGTAACCCAGGTGTCCTCCCCAGGCCACACCTGCGTAGCCCGTCCCTACTCCCTCCAACCTGGCCCCTGCATCGGCCACATCAGACGCCTTCTTCCTGGGCTGGTCAGTTAACTCACTTGGAGATCATGGTGCTGATAACACCAAGGTCAAGGGTTCGGATCCCCATACTGGCCAGCTGCCAAAATAGGCCCCTTCTGCCTGCTCCAGGCTTGGACTCGGCAGCAGCTCCTGACCCGCTTACCCACCAGTCTGCAGTCCCCACATCTGAACAGCAGCTTGCTGTTCTCTGCCCTCGATGCTGTCCTCAGCGTCCAGGTCTTGACCACAGCTTTGTTCTGGATCTTTTTAGCCCTTTCATGAGCAAAGATGAACACACTCTCAGGCCTGGTCCCCTCGCAGTTGGAGCAGAACCCTGGGGCACCGGGTGGCAACTGGCATGCTCAGATCTAACAGAATGGGAGACTTTCACCACCAGTGACTTGAGAGCCCACCATGTCTGGTTCCACTGAGCCATTAAGACCAAAAGTGACTTCAATAACCTGCACCATACAAATAGACACGTGCAGCCCAGCCAGGCCGGAACCCAGCCCCAGGCATGTCCCAGGGTCTGAACACGGTCAACTGGGCCAACTAGATGAAGTCAGGAATCTGTTCAATCGCAGTTGCTGCTCATGCAATAACTCTGATCCTTGGGCTGTCGGTCACAGATCTGCCATGTGCACCATGCTGGGAGGGGTCTCAAATTTTCTAGTTCATCCCCTTCTTCCAGTGTCACTGGAAGGAAACATGGGATGCCCCAAATACTGCATGGGACATACTTATCCTAAAACATTACTCAGGGCTGGCTGGTTAGGTCCGTTGGTTAGAGTGTGGTGCTGATAACACTAAGGTTTGTTCTGATCTGAAATTCAGATTTCACTGAGCATCTGGCAACCTTACTCCTTTCATGTCACACGGGGGCGATTGTTTTGAGGCAGACCCAGGCCTGGAGCCCAGGGCTTCGTGGTACCATTTTTCTCTTCCCACTTATCACACCGTCTCTCATGCAAAAACTGCTGGCAACTGATTTGCATTTGATAGGCAGAGAGAAAACAGACATTCTAGATGCTTTTGAAGGCAAAATTCGATCTGAAGATCTGAGCGTGTGTTGCAGAGGGAAGAATGAGAAAAAACTATTTGTCACTGAAACGGAAGGGCTCCCTCACTGGCGAAGAGGGACCTGGGGCCTTCAGGCCTCCCCCAAAGAGCACAGTCTGTTGCAGGGCCCTGGGGAAAGGAGACAAGCAACCCGCAGGGAATGCTGGCGTGTTTGGGAGCTTTGCTGTACGGAGCTCATCTCTGCTTATTATTAGCACGGAAGTCCCCTGCCTGGCACTTTTCTCTGCCCATATCCTGTGTGACAAAAAAAGCCTGTGCGTGGCCATGCTATCTGGCCGGAAAATGCAGGGAGACATGACTCCCCACATCGGGACTGGCACCAGTGCCTCTGCCTCTGATGGGAACTCACGGCTCATCTTCCTTCCCGTGGGTGACAGAACGACACTCAGGATTCTGAGGGCTTGGGGTCACCGGTTCTTTCTCCTCTTATTTGTTTTATTTCCTTTCATTCCTTGCTCGTGAGTCATTTTGTTCTCCTTTGCCTGGACCCCTTCCCAAATGCCAACCCACTGAGTTCTAGAAGCGGGGTCAGATGTAGGAGTCAGAAGCACTGTGGGTCAGAGATATTCGTAAACGTAGCTTTCAGCGTATCTCCATGTGGATAAAGTTTCCTCGTAGCAGATGTCAGCCAGACTTACAGCTGTCATCTGTAAAAACAGCCCTTTCAGACTTTGTTTTTCATAGAGAGGCTTACTGGTGT